TGGGGCAATCTACTTCCGTAGTGATACTGCCTCGGAAATCCAAGGAGGGGTCGCTATGAGTCGGGTCCGACTCGACAGCACATAACAACAACAACAACATAGCTTCTGCATAATTTAATCTTTTCTTTTATTGTGATATGGGTGAAAGTTCACAGAGCAAATTGGTTTTCTATTCAACAATCCACACACATTCTGTTTTGTGACATTTACTGCAATGTCCACTGGATCAGCATTCTTTCCACTTCCTCCTTGTGCCTACCCTTTCCCTTTGTTCTGCCTTCCCAGGGCCTCTTGCCTTCCTAGCTCTATCCTTGGGCAAATACTGTCTTATTGCTCTTATAAGCTTGACTGTTCTGAGTGCATACCCTCCTGATATTACTGTTTACATTTTAGGCCTGTCTATTATTTGGAGCTCTGGTGGCATAGTGCCTAAGGCACTTGATTGCTAACCAGAAGGTTGGTGGTTCAAACCCACCAGCCAGTCCTCCAAAGAAAGACTGGGCAATCTACATCCCTAGAGATACCGCCTCAGAAACCCAAGGAGGGGTCGCTATGAGTCGGAGACAACTCAACGGCACATCACACCACACCACACCACAACAACATCATTTGGCTGACAGCTGAATCATGGGGGTTAAGTTCAGTTCTTAGTTTGAAGAGTATCTAAGGACAATAGTCTTGGGGGTTCCACCAGTCTTCATTAGACCAGTAAGCCTGGCCTCTTTTTATGATTTTGAGTTTTATTCTCCATTTTCTCTCACTCTATCTGGGACCTTTTATTCAGATCCCTTTTAGAGTGGTCAGCAGTGGTAGCTAGGCAGCATCCAGTTCTTCTGGTCTAAGGGTTGACACATGCTCAATTAATCCTTTAGACTAATTGTTTCCTGTGTCTTTGACTTTCTTCACTCTTCTTTGCTCCGAACAGGGAGAGATCAATAGTTGCACCTTAGATGGCTGCTCACAAGCTTTTAAGAGCCCAGTTGCTACTCACCAAAGTAGGATGAAGAACATTGTCTTTGTGGGCTATGTTATGTTAAGTGACTTTAGTATCACCCAAGACTATGAGCCTCAACAACATCATTTGGCTGACAGCTGACAGTCTTGAGCCTCTACATCCAGTGATTCAATGTCTCATAGAGTTTGGTTATGACTAAGATGTATTCATAACTTTGTCCCTATATGCTCTACAACATTCATGGATATATCTGCAGCACATACAAATACATAGGTAGAGATAATCTCTGTCAAGCCTATATATATTTGTGGGTGTAGTCCCGTTTGCTTTCCCACCCCTGCTCAGCTTCAATGTTTATCTATGAGCCCATTTGTAAATTATTGTTATTACTATTATCGCAGGACTATGCATGTAGTAGTATTCATCTTTGTTGCCTTTAACTCTTGTGCTCCTCCCTGTGTCTTCCTCTGCCTTGATCCTTTTATGCTGACTTCCCCCCTACTGAATTTAATCTTGTCTTGACGATCCAAAGTGATCACTGTGAACAGCAGCTATTAGGCACATAATATTCTCATTCACACACTGAACATGACTATTTGTCTTATACTAAAAGGACCCTAAGTAGCTATACTTTCAGGTTTGTATATGCATATTGATTTTTTTTTTTTTGTCTCCTTTTTCTTTAATGTAGGTTGTTATTTCTTTAAGCAGTTTGTAAGTCAGCTTCAGTAGTTTTTCTTCACTTTGTCAGCAACCTCCAACCCACACAAAACTCTACTTTACCTTTTCTATTTTGTTCCTATGGCATGAGAATTATGCTTAAAGAAAAATTAACAGAATTTTGTGTGAAAGCTCAAAGGACTTCCCAAGAATAAAATATTAGTTCATGTATAGCAAGAGGTAACCTAAAACTGAGATGTAGAACATTCTTTTATGAAAAGAACAAGCTGTGTAAAATGACTGAAAGAACTAATCACTGAAAATCAATGGCCACAGTATGATTTTGTTTGTGATTTTCCACAAGATAAAGAGCAGTGATATCTTGGAAAAGTATACTTGTTGCTTGTGCAAATAATGTTTTACAATATGAAGGCAAGATAAAACACAAAAATAGGGTAAATAGAACAGAGATAACAATGGTGAACTGTGAACTTTAAATTGTTCAAAACTCAAGCTGAAGAGAAAAGCTGAAGTTGACAAAATAATTTTCCAAATCCTGATAAGGAAGAGTGAACTGTGGAAATAAGCATTTGTGGTTTTCAGATTCATCCTTACAAATTCTCTAAAACTTATTAACTTATTCAGAAACACAAGCAAGCAGCAGTTCAAGGTAGAATGCATATTCCCAAAATGTTAATTTTCTTAAAAACAGTAACAAAAAACTTTCATATTTCACAAACATCTGTTTTAGCAACTAAGAAACTGGCTTAATTTTAAAATTTGTTTGATCTGCACTTCAATTGCAAATTATATTACCTTTTTTTCAGGTAGTTAAGATGATACTGAATTTGTTCATTTTCTTTAATAGTGTTACTCAAAATTGTTCTAAAAAAGAAATGAAGAAATATTAGTTTGAAAAATGAGTAACATAAAATGTATACTTTTCTGTCAGATTCCTCTCAAGTGCTCTCTCTTCAATAACCAGGCAGAATCAACCACATTTCATGTAAAATTATATTTTAAATAAGGGTAATAAAAGGTTTTATCATGTTGTATTATAGTTATTAATTTGTGTGTCTGACTCTTCTGATGGATTTCAGCTCCTCTAGGGTAGAATCCTCTTATTTTCTTTGTATTCCTTTTATTATGGGAACTTCCAGTTAAAGTACCAGTTTGAACTCAACTTCTTCCTACAGCATGCCTACTGACAGAACAAGATGACATTTTACAGACAGTAGAAAATCAGATCTTAATTTGATTCTTATTCATAGACCTGATTTTTATTTTACTGACAGAATCTAAGTTTTTAAAATTAATAAAGACTCTTATCATCACAAGACATATCTTTTTCTGAAACAGAAAAATAGCCTATCATCTTAAAATAGATACTAACATTTAGAATGATAATATGTATAAGAAACATATAAATAGAAAATAGAGTGAAATGGAAAAAAATCTATACTTACATTATTATTGATTCCATCATAGTTTGCAAATGTTCTCTGCTTCTATTTGAAAGAAGTTGCCAGGTTTTTCTCTTGTTGGATACTATCTTTATCTGTTTTAGATTAGTATGCTTTGTTTTTCCTGTCACTGGTGATGGAAGAGACTATGATCAATATGGAAGTTTGCATGTTTTTACTTAAAAAGTGATTCAAGTATAAAGTTATATAAAGAAGCTTATAGAATTTTGAGGACTAAAATATTACGAAGCTGTATGAACTGTTTAACATCCTCTTTATTGCACAGCCATGACATGCTAGGTATTGAATATGGACATGCTGTCTACTGTTATCTTAACTGATTTGCATGTAGGAATCCCAAACAAATAATTTTAAGAACCAAGTTACAATTATTAGGAATCAACATAAAGTTTGGTTCTCAGATATAACCTGAATTCTTTCAAAGCTCCACTGAAAATATTAGAAAGCTATTTCTACAAAAAGTTGGATGGCAATTGGAACACAACAGATTAACTAAGCTACAAGTAGACTTTTAGTGTCCATTATGCTATTGGTACTATTTTATGCATAATAGAATGCTGTAAGGGACACTGAGGTAAACAAGAGATACACTATTAGTTCACATGAAAATTAGTTCGGAAGAGAAGAGAGATTAAAAAAATTATAATTATAGTATGCAAAGCATTACAAAAGAAAAGTGCTATGGGAGTATAAAACCAGAGGACTTAACTGGGTCTTGGCTGAGAAGGAGGAAAGAATCCTTCCATGAAGAAGTCATGTGTAAGCAAAGATAGCTACTTAAAAGTACTTAACTCCAAACAAATTTTAGATAGTGGCTCCAAACTAATCTATACAGTGGTGGCAGAACAGAAAGTATATTTGTCTTGAAGAGAAATCAGTAGATATGTCTTTATAAAGATTAATAATAACTAGACTGTAGGGCACTTTCATTTTCTCTAGTTTCTATCAACTTAGTGGCATAAAAGCCTCCATGGTATTTTGCTACTAAATAAAATAGTAAATAAAATTTGTTAATCAAAATAACTGATTAATCAGTACTATCTACTCCTGCAAAAAATGTCAATGTGGCTGTTGATTACTATCTCTTGCTTTTGTGGAACCTATAAAAAAGATGTTGAGAATATGTTCACGAATTATTGGTCTTGAGAAAGACTGCAGGTTAATATATACAGAAAAGAAATACCTTCAAAAGACAGATGCTTTGGTTGTTTATTTTTTTTCAATGTGTTTCTAACCTAGAGGAAAAACACACACACACACACACACACAATTAACATCAGATAAAAAGATACTGCTTTTCCATAGATTTTTCATGTATGTAAAAATATCCATGTACCTTCTGGTTAGATAGGAAAAAAGTATAATGGCACTTCTATAGAAGGGTGTGTATTTATCATAGGCAGAGGACCATCTAAGGCAATTCTTGGGCAGTGGTGATACTATAAAAAAGTTTATACAATATCAAAGAATACTTTTAATAAATTATTTCTCACTTGGCCTATGAAGCACTATTACACACTTTACCTACAAAATAAATACAGGCATTGCCTAATGTTCAGGGTGAAACAAGGAAATGGATTTATAAATAAACCATACCAAACTCAATGCCATACAGCAATTACGATTCATAGTGACTTCCATTGAGTTTCACAGGCAGTAAATCTTTATGGAAGTAGATTGCCCCATTTTTCTTCAGTGGAGTGGCTCATGGGTTTGAGCCACCAACCTTCTAGTTAGCAATCAAATGCCTTAGGCATGGTGTCACCAGAACTCCTTGGATTTATAAATAGATTTGATTAATGGATTTATAAGTGGATTAATTAATGCATTTATAAGAGAGGGGCAGAATTAAGGTAGGAAAAGAGTTAATTCCTCCCAAAGTATTTTTTCTCTGTTAATAAAAATCTCCTCCACAAACTGACAGATTCTTCCATCTTTTAACTTATGAATGCTATAAGAATAAAAATCAAAACCAAACTCACTGCCATGGAGTCGGAGCCAACTCATGGCGACCCCTCCTTGGGTTTCCGAGGCGGTATCACTAAGGAAGTAGATTGCCCAACCTTCCTTCCGAGGACTGGCTGGTGGGTTGGAACTGCCAACCTTCTGGTTAGTCATATGTATACTTAATTCTTAGTCTTTCCATTTAATACCTCAGCAATGCCCCATAAATTATTCCTTCCCAAATATTCTATGGTCAATGCTTATTTTTAAAAGTAAAGTAAACAATTATCTAAGAATTTTCAAATCATGTTACAAAAAACTCACAGAATGGTATGAATTAGTAGAATTTTAGTGAAACTAAAAAAATAGCTTTTACTTTCCATGTTTTCTAGTAATTGACCTTTCTGACTCATAGTCTTCACATGTTTCTCTTTACACAGAACAGATGGTATTTCTAAACAGAGTTCTGAATGATAAATTTGATATTTCCATTACCTCTTTCTCTGACAAGTCCACTTCCTCATCATCCATTTTTCTTTTTGTATTTTTGTTTAACTGTTGAGACTTTTTCTTGGAGGCATTTGCTTTGCCAGGCATCCTGATCTAAATGGAAGAATTATATAGTACTTTGAAAATTAGTAAAGATTAAAAAGACACAGAAAAATGTTTAAAGCCTTGCATATAATTTTGTTAAAAAGACTATCTTTTTCTAAATTTTTTTAAATCATAATGAATATTTGGGGATTGTATTGTTTTTAAAGGGAGCCCTAGTGGTGTAGTGGTTAAGCATTTGGCTGCTAACCAAAAGGTCAGCAGTTCAAAACTACTAGGTACTTTTCAGGAGAAAGATGAGGCAGTCTGCTTCCATAAAGATTTATAGCCTAGGAAACTCTATGGGGCTGTTCTATTCTGTCCTAAAGGATTGCTATGAGTTGGAATCAACTTGATGGCAGTGGGTTTGGTTTGGTTTATAGCTAGATATACAGCTAAATTACTCATCATTCATTTACCTTCTAAAAAGTCAGAATTAATTATGCTAATGTAGTTTAAACATGCATGCCTATTTGTGTTGTTGTTATTGTCATGTGCCAGAGTCAGACCCGACTCATAGAGACCCCTCCTTGGGTTTCTGAGGCGGTATGACTACGGAAGTAGACTGCCCAACCGTCCTTCTGAGGAGTGGCTGGTGGGTTTGAACCGCCAGCCTTCTGGTTAGCAGTCAAGTGCCTTAGGTACTATGCTACCAGAGCTCCCACATGCAGATTTATAGAAGTCCACTAAAGAAGGTTCTCTGAATAAACCTATTCCCTCAAACTTTTACAAGAAAAGGTTCAAAAAGGTTCAAGCTTTTCTTTTTACTAAGATTGAAAAATAGTAGAAAAGAACTACCTGAGAGAACGCAAATCATATATGGGGACTAAATATCAGGTCAGTTATAAAAAGTAGCAAAAGCTAAAATATCACTTTAACCTGCTTTTGAGCAATGTGGTATTAACACACCTTACTCTACACTCAGTCTCTATTCTGTGTTCTTGTCTTGAAATGCCTTACTCTCTCAACTTGCTATACATGCCTTGTACTTATGACTCAGAACTGTCTCAACAGCAGTGGTTATTCATCTTTAATATCTATATGTAACATCCAAACTCTTAACTATGGTTAAGACTAAAATTTTAACTTGGTCTTAGACTTACAGGAATTCACAGAATAGTTGTAGTGGGCAGAGAGATGAGAGAATGACTATCTTTTGTTGAGTGTTTGGGGAGGGATTAGTTTTCAGAAAAAAATGTAATGTTTGAAATACGCTGAACTATATACTCATTGCTGTGGAGTCAATTTTGACTTATAGTGAGCCTACTGGACAGAGTAGAATTGCCCCACAGGGTTTCCAGGGCTGTAAATGTTTAAGCAGACTGCCACATCTTTCTCCAGCAGAGAAGCTTGTGGTTCGAACCATCAACACAGTAGCCTAGAGCTTAACTAGGGCACCACCAGAGCTCCTTTTGAACGATTTAGCGAAAAATGGAGGGAATGAAGGCACTCTAGTGGTGCAGCAGTTAACATATTTGTCTGCTGACCAAAAGGATGGCTGTTCAAATCCACCAGCTGCTCCTGGGAGAAAGATGAGGCAGTCTGCTTCTCTGAAGACTTACAGCCTTGAAACGCTTTTGGGCAGGTCTACTCTGTCCTATAGGGTGGCTATGAGTTGGACTCACGATGGCAATGGGCTTGGTTTGGGTTTAAAGGGAATTAAATATTCAGAAGAAAACAGCAAACCTAAAGGCAGGGCAGTTTGAAAGAAACTGGTATATTCAGGAACAGCAAAATTTCAGCGAAGCTCGGGTACAGAAGGTGAAAAGTAGTTTTGGGCCAAACTACATACTGCAATGAAGACTCCAGAGTTTATTTAATAAGAATAAAAAATTTATCCTTTACTCTGTAGGTATACATTGTTGCTGTTGTTGTTAGGTACCCTCGTGTGAACTCTGACTCATAGCGACCCTATGGATCACAGAATGAAACACTGCCCCGTCCTGTGCCAGCCTCATGATCCTTGCTATATCTGAACCCATCATCATAGCCACTGTGTCAATTCATCTTGTCAAGGATCTTCCCCTTTTTCGCTAACCCTCCACTTTACCAAGCACGATATCTTTCTCCAGGGAATGGTCTCTTCTGACATGACCAAAGTAACATCCTAATCTGTCTTTTGCCTTACCAGCTTGCTGAAACTAGATGAAACCAACATCTCAATCTAGACTTCTATCTGCGCTAGAGGTGAGCACAAAGTGGCACAAACCAAACACACAATGTTTACCTACAGAAGTGACACGTCTCAGTAGCAACGCTCCTGATGGCAGCAACAAGGCCCAAAGACACTTATCTCTATGGCAGCACTTCGCCCCAGTTCTGGCTGCAGAAAAGATTGAGGGGAGGAAGGATGATTGAGGGAAAACCGCGCGTATTATCACTCCTCTTCCCTCTCATTAACCAAAGAGTAATTCAATCCGTGGTACCAAAAGCACACCTGGTCAGATTTCCTTCCCCTGAAAAATCACCTCACACTCTCCAAATACAAACCACTGAGTTTGACTCAAACTTGGTGGCCACATAAGCCACACCCCAAGCTGAACCCAGAGGGTTAAGCGATTTCACTCTCACCACTGATTTCTCTCCAGTCTTCCGGTTAGCCGAGTTCAGAGTAATTCCCGCCCAAACAATCGAAAGCCGAGTAGAACCGGAAGTGAGCAGAGAAAAAGCGGAAACGCTTGTAGCCGGAAGCGGGCTACCAAGTCTCGCCACTTTGATCAAGCCTGGAGTGCACCCCGAGAACACGATTTGATTGGCTGGAGAGAGGGCGGTGTTGGCCTACGCCTCCAGGGTGGTGTTTGCGCTTGCGCAGTGGGGTCGTGGCTGTGTGAGTTTGGGCTCTTGGGGCGGGGGACGCCGAAATCTAGCAGCTCTAACCACGGTGTAGGTGAAGTACAGGTTGGAGACAGGCGGGCCAGTGAGTAGGACTGTGCACCTTTAGGCATATCAGCCTTTCGTATCGCTCCATTCCCTGGCTGCTGTCTTCCTCCTACCCTACTGCTCTAATTCTCTGCTCCTTTTCTATCCCCAGCCTCCTCCTGTACCTTCCTAGTGTGACGAGATCTCGCTGTAGTCTTAACTTCTCACGTTTAGATTGTTACTTCGACTGACCTATCTTCCCGGGCTAGGTCCTTGGGAGCTCGGAGGTGGAGCTGGAAAGCTGTTGCTTTTACCATGTCAGGCTCAGTGTCGTCATTTTCCCTTGCTGCTCAAGCACCCCGAAGCATTCTGCATAGCAAGGGACACTTGTACAATGCAAGAGGAGTGCCCAGACCTCACTGGCAGCCCTCCAGTCTGCTGCAAATTTTAATCAACAGTTGACAACACAGTTGAGTCAACTTTCTGTCTGTAGGCAGGGGTGAGGGAGAGAGGTGGAATAGAAAAGACATTTACATTGACATGAAAATGTGAATTACTGACTTGTTCTCAGTTTTGTGCAGGAGACAGATTTTTTCAGAACTCAGAACCTTGAACCACTGGAGCTTCTCTCTGTGTATATAAAATTTTAAACTACTTGATTATGTTCTCCCAGTATATCCTATATTTAACGATTTATTAATGCTGATATTTACTTTACATGCTTTGCGTTGCTGTCCCTAACTCAAATTTGTTGAACATCAGAGGGGACTGAACTCTCTTGAAGTGTTTGTATGGAAACATACGTAAACGGTCAAAGCCTGACAGATAATTTGGTTTAAAACTATAGGTGTTTTCTCTTAGGGATGTTTTTGGAGGCATGAGGGTGGGCGTCATTATTATTCTTTAACATGTTTTAACCACCAGTAACCTATATTTGCCTTTCATGTTGGTTCTTTGCTTGATGTCTTTCTTGTTGGATCTTCTGAGAAAACTCAGAAGTCCTGTGGCTGCCAGCAGTAGCTGTATTCTTTCCTAAAAGTAATGTTTGTTTCCAGGAAATCATTGTTATTTGGGACTCTTTCCTATCGTTTGTCCAGTTTAGGAAAACTTCATGAGTATTTTGTGTGAAATGGGTGTGGTATTTCTTGTCTACACTCTAGTTTCAGATTATCTTTTACATCATTACTAACCCGATTGTTGGATTTTAATGTCATTATTTTTCTCATCCACTTTTTAAGCTAGTAAATGTAGTGTATGGCTTGCAAGAAGATGGATGACAAGGACCCCATGGATTAATCAGAATAAAATTCATAATATCTTTAAGAAAATGACGCAAATTGTTTTTGTTGTACTTATTTTTAGACTTTGTTCTATGCATTTTTTACCTGGTTGAACAAGTTGCATAAATAATATTGTATCCTGATTCTTAACACTTTTTGAGCCTTTTTCCTTTTAAAAGATACTACTCATAACGTTTTAAACTTTTTACTTAAAAGTGATATACTTAACAAATGAGGGCACATGTCATAAGTATACAGTTTCATGCGTTTCCCCAAACTGAATATATTTATGTAATCAGTGTTCAGCTCAGAACCTTCACTCCAGATGTCCCTCTCATGCCCCCTTCCAGTACTAACCATCATAAATTGCCACTCCTCTAACCTCAAACATCAGTGATTTGTTTTGTTTCTTAAACAGGTAAAAAATAAAATAAAATACCAGTTTTGAATCAAATTATAATAGTCACATAAAATTACAGCATTTGCATGTGATGTCATTCACTTGCTCATTCTTATGTTAGATATTTATGATTGATCTGAGGTTTTCTGTATAATACATAAAACTATAAGGAACATTTATGTTGTTTATGTGTTATAGTAGGTTTCCCAGGAATGATGTTACTAAACATTTCTGAGATTCTTCATACATAGTGCCAGTTTGTTTTCCAAAGTAGTTAAAGTAGTATTTAATCCCACCAGCAGTTTATGTCTTGCATAATAAAGAAAATAAATACTATTTTTATTGTATGTAAAATATATGTATATAAAGTTTAAGTATATAATAAAAATATAAAAAACAGTTTGTCCTAATATAGAGTAGGAAATGATAATTATAAACAAGGGGAATTGCTGTGGATTCTGAAGAGG